TTTCTTTTCAAGAATCATGTCTTTGAACAAAAAGTAACCCTTTCTTCAAATTCACTATTCAGGATTCAGGGATGGGTAAATTTCTTTTCAAGAATTATGTCTTTGAACAAAGAGTAACACTTTTTACATGTTCGCTATTCAAAAGATTATTTTGTATTCTCACAGAGTTTATGTGTTACATAATAAATAGAATAGTATCCTACTATCTTTCGATATCAATTTTATCAGGCTCAACTGATATGGGCAGAAAGGGCTCGGGAAACGTCCATATCAGGCTCGCCAAATAAAATTGATATCAAGAGACAGTTACATGTGTGTATCTATATATCAGGTTAGTAACCTTTTATCATAACTATGCCCCTCCAATTCAATTGACTTATTTTAATCACATATTTTTTCATTTTTTAACCATCAGTCGTCTATTTCATATCCTTGCAAACCTTGAATTAAGATGTTAAACATTTATTTATTTTCATTTCGCTTTCAATTACAAAGAAATATAATAAAAAGTGATCAGAAGGCCTAGCACATTCCAGCGTATCTCAGACTTGCCAAATAAAATTGATAAAAGGACAATTGTAAGACATGTGTATAGACGTACTTTCTCCGCAAGTATATATTCCATTGGATGATCACACATATTATTTTTGCAATTGAAAGGAGAAGCGATTTTAAAAAATGCCATTAAAAAACCCTTTACTAATTTTTTCATAATAATTTTTAAATGCTTGAAACTCATGAAATAAATGTTTTTTCAAACACCAAAGAAAAAAACTTTTTTCTTCTTTTCTTTTTTTTTTTTTAATGATTTGGGGGGAAAAAAAAAGTTTTGATAAAAAATTTTTTTGTAATTATTATTCAAATATGACTAAATGAAAAATTCAGATTTTTTTAATTTAAAATTAAATATTTTAAAAAGAATTTTTTTAAATAACAAACATTTAAAAAAACTTAAACTTCTTTCACCCCCAAAATCTCCCTTTATAACCCCTCGCATCCACCAAAACAAAACCATTTGTATGAGTCAGGGCCCATTTTTGCAAGGTAGAAAAGTCTTCCCACATTTGCCCCAAAAGATCCAGAAAAAACATGCGATAAAAGATTACCACTTTTTACATTTTATTGATTTTCATTGATTGTCAACAAAAAGTAACATCATAGAAGGAAGAAACAATAAGCAGCTATCAATAACAACACTCATAGAATATATAACAAAATGGATTTACAGGTCCATGGTATCCATTCTATAAAGTATAAAAAAAATATAATAAAAAAGTTTTTTACGATATTTGATTGAAATTCAGCTCCCTTTTAAATGCATACGTCAATAGAAAAACAAGAATGGTCAAGAAAGAGACGACACGCTCGAATACTGTGTCCCCGTAAAGTATGGAAAAACAAAACTATGGAAAGCAAAATCGACGAAGAAAAATTGTATTGCGTAGCCATGTCGCATCTAATAACATTGATGTTATTAACAGAAGTATCAGTGTTATGTGAGGGAAAGAAATAAAAAGAAAAAAAAACAACAAAAAACATCAAATTATTGAAATAACTATGCGGTCATGCAAAAAAAAAGAATAATAAATACAATTATATAAGCACAATATATTTATACAAATTTTCAGTTACAGAAACATCAGAATGATAACCACTAAACGATTCATACTTTTATCAGAAAACATTTGAAAGATTGAATTTTCAAACAGAATTTCCATGTGGAATCGTACATTCATTGTGGATATCGTTAATACGGATTAGCAATTACTGTAATTATTAAAGTAATACGCACTATTGTCAAAGCAATATATTACATATTGCAATTTAAAACGAAAATATTTAAATGAAGTCGTACATGTACAAAGCGTATAATGTAAAGTTATTTTATACTTATCGTACAATACTATACTATCTACGTAATCAAACAATTTTAAAAACTTACGGCTTTCACACATTGAGCCTTGATAGCCAGCCTCGCATCCACCAATACAATAGCCATTTGTATAACTACAGACACCATTTTTACAGGTTGTAGAACATTTCCCCCTACATTCGGTCCCAAACGACCCAGATTGACATTCTAATAATGGATACCACTTTGTAACATTTTTTTATTTATTGTCATATGATAATTTTTTGCAATATTTGAACCCATTATTAATCGATCTATGGTTTGTTTCTGATGTGAATCTACTTATAATATATATTGATATAAATCAAATAAGACATACATGTACATAAAAGATCATCGTATAATTGAGCTGAGAAGGACATCGTCAAGATTTTGTATGAAACAATTTTCTGTTACTGTTTCATTTATTTATAGGGAGACATAGAAAAATGTTATGAACAAGTAAAAAATGTTTTTTTTTCTAATGTTTGGAACAGTTAACCAATTTCAATAATTAAGGTCAACACAATAAACAACTGTGTTCGAGATTGCATATAATCAGACATAGATAAGTTAGCCTTTATATAACAGAATGATCAGTTAGTCGAACCATTGATTTATTAATTAAAAACGAATACGTACTTTTAGAACATTTTAGAACATTTTATAGAAGATAAATTTTCAAATGTTAATATATAAACAGTAATGTTATTTATTACATTAATATAAAATATGAAATAATCAAAACGAGTGCTCTAAAAATCGTTTAAGAATATTTCATTATATCATCCTACCAACATGATGAAAAAACTTGAAATGTCTTACTTATTTCACACGTATCTCCTTGATAACCTGGCTCACATCCATGTATACAATTGCCATTGACGTTATTGCAATAACCATTTTTGCAATTGGAAGGACAATTTTCCTTGCAATCTGCACCAAACTTCAATGCTTGACAGTCTATTAGTTATAACATTTAATCTATACAATCATAATTACTTATTTCTTTGTTTAACATGTGTATTTAAATTAAAGTAACATATGATTGTACATTATATATCATCCTAAACATAAACTGGAGTAAGACATTAACAAAATGTATGTGAGTACAATTTTTCTGTTTGTTTTCTTATTTATTGGTAATTTAAATACAAAAATCATTTTACCAAAAAAAAAATTGCAAAAGGTATAATAGTATAAAAGTATAAATTTCTATAATAAAAGTTCCATCCATGCTATATGATTTTAACAAAATATGTTTGTTGAATCATTGACATTGTTCATTCAATCAACTTACCAGCATGGAAATAAATTATTTGATTTATGACTTACTTCTTTCACACCTATCTCCTTGATAACCTGGGTTACATCTATAAATACAATTTCCGTTGACATGATTGCAATAACCATCTTTGCAATTGACAGGACAAATCTCCCTGCATTCTGTGCCAAACCTCAACTCTTGACATTGTATTAGTTAAAAAATGTTTTGCTCATTCCGAGACATTAACTGTCGCACGCAGTGAAGCGATAAACGCTAGTTATGTGTCAGAATAATCATTCAGTTTTATCTGTTGATTTTGTTTTTACAGCGATATATTGTTTGATGTGTAGTGTAAATATCATATTTCACTGAACAATTAATCTTTAAACCATATGCTGCTCGCATATTGTAAAAACTCATAAATTCTCTCTACATTTTTGTTGTTGCATATTATTTTGGTTGTTGAGTAAAATATATTTGGTAAATATTGGTTGAGTTATATTGACTGATTTTGTCTTGTCAAGATTCTCCTAGTTGATGCTTTGGTTTTGAAGAAATATGTGTGTATTGGTTGTTTTGGTTTTAGTTGCTTTGTGATGCTGATAAGATTTTTTGAGGTTAATATTTTTGGTTAAATTTTTGTGGGTTTTTTTGCTGCGATTTTATTGTACTGTTTGATTATAATTTATTTAAAGATTTGGTTCTATGGAAGGGGATATCAGCCATAACAAATACAATAATGTGTGAACTGGCGTTGGATGGGTATTTAAGTAAAAACATTGATATCATTTTAAATAAATGTTTTTATATTCTTTGTCCCTATTTCTAATGTGCATGTTCCATTTTCTAACTTGTGTGTATGTAAATTCTAGCTTAGTATATAGTTGATATTTGTTTGTTTGTTTGTAAGATGACATTTTATTTCATCGAGTGAGCTTTAAAAGCAGTATTAATACAAAACAAACAAACAAATTTTATTTTTATTTTATGCTTAAAAACAAGTTTAAATGAAAATTTTCTCAATATTAGCTTTAATTTTAAAATCTGTTTTCCCCAGTGGTAGCCTCATTTTGAATCGACTTACAAGAAGTTTAGAGCTGAAAAATAAGTTCGACAATCAACGTTAAATGGCGATGATATTATTTATTTTATTCCAAAAACATGAATGATCCCTTGTTTTAAAAATTAAAACAAACAATTCTAATAGAAGAAAATGTCACACCATCCGACCTTATGTCCGTTACTTACGGCGAATTTACATTTAACCAGGCTCTCAGTAATATATGCGGCCGCCATTTTTAAAAGTTGTGTATTTAACGTAAGGAAAATAATTGTGCTAGATTCAGAGGGATATCATTTGGATTTGTTAATCATATATCTTATTATAAGAAAGGAAACTTATTTGAGGTTGTTGTTACAGACAATAAATATTTTTTTTTCAGATGTGTAAATATTCAAAAAGCGGGTACGAATTAGGAAAACATGGAATTTTTGGAAGGCTGTCTTATGAACGCCAGGTTGTTTACTTATTTTTTGGGCTGATGACTGTCTTTTGAGAATACTTGAATATTTCCAAAAGTCATTAAGAGCAGTTTTGCATATGGAAGAAAGTGTATTTTTCAGACTGTAAAAATGAAACAAAAATTTAGAGACGATATTTGGTGATTGGTGATTTGAATGTATTGAACAAAGTTTTTTCTTTGCATTACTTTTGAATTTTAAATTATCAATTCCATCTTTGCTTTTCTCTAAACATCCCTGACAATGTCAGAATTGTCAGCAAAAATAACATTAAGGTACCACATGGGGAAAATCTTAAAAAAGTAGTTTCGTCATTAAAAAGTGTGAAATTATAGTTTGATAATTTTCATTGCAAGCATAAAGTAACTAATTTATACTGTGAATTACAAACATATATTATCCTATGTGCCAATTTCTTAACTAAATGCTCAAGTTTGTAAATTGTTTTTATAAAATCTTTCTTGTTGAAGTGTTAAACGCAATAATAGTCAAAAAGTATTTTACAACTCGAAAATGTATTTTCTAACTTTCAAAAGTTCGTGTACAAACTTTTTATTCCTTTTATGGAAAACGTTAGACTTAACTTAAAAATAAAAATACGGAAACAAAGTGATCCCTAGGAAGCATTTATCACAACAAAATTAAAAGAGAATTTGCAGTTTGGTTGAGTCTGTAGATGAGGGATAATGAATACGCGCAACATCCCTCACGCCCCCCTAGCACCTGCTTGAGCTAATAAATTAATTATACAATTTTAATTTATATTTCTGTGGCAAGTCTTAGATACTTTTGTATGATTATAATTTAATGTTTATGTCAACAAAGAGTATATTGTTTTTTTCAAACTTCAAAGTGAATGTTTCGAAATTAAGAGATGAAATTTGAAATTTAGAATGTTATGGGACTTTCCCACAATGTGAAATAAAAATATTACGATTTCCCTTACAGTATGCATCGTCGCATATTTGCAACAAGGTTAGCCTAGCACAACACGTGGGGTCAGTTTAAATCTTAACGGTTGAGATGTGCGTAACTTCCTTACAGTTGAGAGAGAACCGCTTCTCTGATAAATGGCGCAGTTTAGACTATGCAATTTAACGATCCGTCTTATAAATGTGCTTGGATTTGAAGATATGTTGTCTTTGCATAATTTGGCATAAATAGAGGATATTGTGTGAGTGTAAGTTCAGTACTGAATTTAGTTGAACAAGTAGACTAGAATTTTAGTGTGCGAACCTCTGTCAAGCATAGTATTAACTCATTCAATGAGTTCAAGAAATTCAAAAGTGAAACTTTTCGAATATAATATTCTATTTATCACATAGCCAAGGTTATGACTGTTTGAAGTAGTAACATTTTTCATTGTGTTATGTAATGCTAGACGTCACGTCAAAATAAATGCATCGTTGTGCAATACTATTTTTACGATAATAACTCATATTATAATGTAATTGGTTGAGAAATATTTCATTATTGGTCCTAATGGATGAGTCTGCTAGCACTTCCATTAATGATAAAACACATGTTGATTGAGAGAACTACTATATATAATCCTAAAGGCTGAGAGAGAAGTCATTTTATTGTGCATAATGGGAGAGAGCAAAGAACTATAAAACACATAATGAATTGTAATATATTATCCTAATGATTGAGAGAGATGTCATTACTTATCCTAAAGGGTGAGAGAAATGACTTATATATCACAAATCAGTGTCATCATTATGTTTAAGTGACTCAAACAGGATGATCAGAGGTGATGGAGTGTATGCCAAGACCGAAGATGACTGCAGTAGCGCTCAATTTGTTTTAACAGAAACTTTCATAGCTTTAACCCTTGACTAAATCTGACATATTTTTACATTTTGGTATTGTTCTTTCTTTTCAACAGTCCTTCAACTACTTGTTCATATAATATATGTATATACCATATTGAAAAAATGTTGAAACAAATGTTTTTTCTTACACTTATGAAATTAAAACTTGAATAAATTAATCACACATTTTTTTGGCCTTTATATTTAAAAGTTCAGTTTCAACCCCTACTGTAATGTTTAAAGGAAAACCAATTTCAGTTTTCTCAAACTAATTTCTATCAGTATATTATTTTCTAAGGTATCACACATCATGTTTATATACTGTACATATAATGTTAGGTTGTTAAAATTCTGGGGATTTTTCATTTATAAAAAATTAGCTGGTTTTAAAAAATTTGTAAATACTTTTTATAAAATAACCACAAAAAAATTAATTTGGGGATCTTAAAACCCTTTTTTTCGAATCCCTAAAAATGTGTTTGCCTGTATTTTTAAATTTTTTTTTAAAGATAAACTTTTTTAAAATGTGATTTTAAACCTAAATGTTAAAAAGATTTTTTGCGGACAAAATACTTCAACATGACTTTTTCAAAATTTAGAAACGTTCAGTATATCTTTCCTACATTCACGGCATAATAGCCTACGATTTCCTCCGTATTACCCTTCTTGACTTCACACTTAAAATTTACAAGCAAATGCTTCATGTTGATTTGTAGAAAGGAATGTAACCTTTAGAGTAAAAAGATAAAGCCTTTATCAGGAGTCCTTTCTTTTTCTTTAATATCCGAATTTTTAAACATGAATACTTGATATCTAAAGACATAACAGTAATAACAGTAGTTTAAACTGACCTTATGGCTAATTGCAACCTGGAAATAGACTTGTAATGTTATCCGAAACTTGAGCGTGTCAGTAAATAATGTGGGCAAGATGTATGTTTTCCTCCATTCTCCATACTTAATTATAGTAAGGGTTATAAGAGATATCATTATTTATCATAACGAATAAGAAAAATTAACCAGACAACACCTAATGTGCAAGAACTATATATTATGCTAATAACTGACAGAGGTGTCATTATTTATCCTAATGGGTGAGGGCAATGAATCATTTACAATAAAACACTAAATGAGCGAGGAAACTATCAGATAATTATTATAAGGGTTGAGAAAGAAGTCATTATTTTTACTGATGGGTGAAAGCAAGCAGCTGTAAAACTTATAATGAGTGAGAGAATTATTATTGTTCTTCAAAAAACATTGCATGTCAAGCTTAGGGTTTCATGTTTTGAATTCTGATTCGGGCCAGGTGATCAGCTTTGGTTAAATGGATGGTAAATACTCAAGATTCGGACATAAAATGTATAATATTTCCTCACTCATGCGCTTATCGCACACTGCATTTGTACAGAAGCATAGTTTTTTTTTAATCAAGTCAGTATTTCAACAGATATGTTTATATGCATACTTACTACGAAATTGACAAAGTTGTCCTTCAGATTTAGTCGATTTGCTATTTATATCACTGGGGCACACCTAGAAAACTAGTGCAATAGTCACGATTGAAGCGCCCTCTGTTTTGAAAGGGAACAGTTATTTCTTGTTCCTTCTCTGTTGGAATTCCTATGTAGCTAGATACCAGTATATATGGATCCTTCTTACTTTTAAATATTTACGAGGCACATATCCTGTTATAACTGCTAAGTGATGATATATAACTTCTAAATGGTGTTATATATAGAAATTGCGAATAACAAGACTAAAATGAAATTTGTAAAGTACATGTATATCATGAAAATCACAGTAATTTGCAAATTAAGACATAGAGACGAAATACAGCGTAAAAAATAGAAAATTAGCATTAACAATGTAAACTTACAAATTATGTATAAAACATTTTGCGTTTACACATTTTGGGTTCAGGTTTTGTGTGACATATTATCCATGTAATGTACATGCAAGAATAAGTCATTTACATGAATGTATTTCACTTAACACAGTAGGAATAAATTATTTACATGAATTGATTTTTATTTACAAGCAAGAATAAGTAATTTGCATAAATGGAAATTTTACTTAACTTCGCTTCCATTATGGCGGACACCCCCTTCCAAAGCGCTGACCAGGTGTTTATTATTGTTTAGTAAGAAAGACTTATACGTGTAAAGATATTTTGTATGAATGGTTGATGCATTGTGTGTGTTTGTTTTATAATAATAATAAATATTAATCAGAGACATTTGTAGATGTGATGCTTATATGGATTTGTGGTAGGAAAATATATAAATACATCAAAGGTGTCAACAAAACATAGGAATATAGGAACATAGAAAAGTATACTAAAGATAGAAATTTAAATGTAAAACCAAAACTAAATAGTACCTGCATAATAAAACAGTTGGAAATACTTACTTTGCTGACACCGATTTCCTTGATAACCCGACTTGCATCCATCGATACATCTGCCGTCGATATGGTTGCAATATATAGTTTTGCAATTTGACGGACAATTCTCCTGACATTCTGCACCAAACTTTCCAATACTACATCCTATCAAGTATAAACTTTTTATGTTTATTCACATTGCAGAAGACATTGGACGATTTATTTTTGAAAAAGCAAACATTATTATATCAAATCATTTTCTTGTATAAGACGTGTATGTGTTTAATATAAGTTTACATTACAGATAACTGTAGGAAAATAAAAACAAAAGCTGTCACGCAAAATTGAGAAATGCCGCCGGAAAGGTTTCTTAAGCATTGCAGTAACGTACTATGAAAAGAAAAGAGAATGAATGTAACTAATTGTTTAAAATTGTTCTTGTGAAATGAAGTTCTTTTTATAGCAATCTAACCACATCGGGATATGGGTCTTAGATACGGCACATGATCATAATGTGGTAGACATTTATGATATTTATAAGTTATTTAAAAATTCTATAATGCATGACAATGTTACAGTTTGGAAACTAATGGGTACCTTCAAAAACTATAAGAGTGACCTTGACCTTCGAGGTAGGAACATGGGTCTTACAATACGTCGTTCGATGCATGACAAATTTACAGTCCGGACACGAATGTGTATCTTCAAAATATTCTTGAGAAAAATGCATACATTCTAACTGGCAGAGTGACCTCAGAGGTAGGAACATAGGTCTAAAAGGCGACATGCATGTTGTCTTCATGTGGTAGAAATATATGCTACGCTATTTAAAAATCATTCCATGCCTAAACAGTTACAGTCCAGACACAAATGTGCGAACCTTTAAACTCTACTTGTGAGAATGCGAAACCATCAGACTGTAGTGTGACCTTGACCTTGGAGGTAGAGACATGAGTCTAAGACTCGACACCTCGTCTTGATGTATTAATCAGTTATTCCAATGTGTTTTAAAATCCTCTGATGCATGACAAAGTAACACTGGACATGGTACTGTGTGTACCTAGTATCTCTTATTGCAATAACTTGAACCTTCACAATTTAAGTGTGACCGTGACCTTTGAAGAAGGGACGTGGTTCTTGGACGCGACTTATTGTCTTGTTGTGATAGACATCTATGGCAAGTTTTTTTTAAAGACAAAGTTACAGTCTGGAAACGGATGTGTGTACCTAATAACTAATTGGGATAATGTGAAAATTCAAAATGTTAGAGTGACATCGACTTTTGAGGTAGGGACGTGATTCTTGGACGCGACAAATCGTCGTGATGTGATAGACATTTGTGCCTAGCTATTTCAAAATCCCTCAATGTATGACAAAATTACCGTCCGGATACGATTGAAATGGGCATGCACATACAGACGAACGGAACTATTAATATGCGGCCCTTCGGCGTCATAAAATCGTAATGGAGAAATCACCAAAAGGTATAGAAAGCAAAGGAAGAATTTGATAATTGTAGACTCAGTTTAATTGAGTCTGTATATGATTTTTTTTATGTCAAGTACAACCGCTACCATGCTAGCACCGGTTAACCTGGTAGACAAACTTCAACACTGAAAAGTATTGGAATTAAATGAACCTGACGGAACATAAATTAAAACAGAACACTACCTGCATAAAATAAGTAATTGAAAGACTTACTTTTTTCACACTTATCTCCTTGATAACCTGGCTTGCATCCATAAGTACAATTGCCGTTGGCGTTATTGCAATAACCATTTTTGCAATTTACAGGACAATTTTCTTTGCAATCTGCGCCAAACTTGAACGCTTGACATTCTATTAATTCAAAATGTTTGCTAATTCTTAGACATAAACATATATATAAAGATATAAAAGGAATGTACATTAAATTATAATTTTATTAAGCGAGTTCTTACAAATTATATATTCTTTGGTGTGTTTATTTATTTATTTAACAGCTTCAATGAGTTTATGGATGGCCCCTTACAAAATAATATGTTTATCTTTACATGCACTAAACAAAATATTATTTCTTGACGCGCCTTTAGTGATAAAATTTAGCTCACATCAAGCTCAGTTTGTAAAAAGGCAATTGACGTCTTGATATGACACTAGTGTGTTGTCGTTTTTTGTACTTACAATCAGAAATTTCCAACCATTAAGGGTAACGCCCGCTGCAGTGGCGTTTCATCACCACTAAATATTCTATATTGTACTCCTACATTTTATCTTAATCGAATTTATAGTGATCAACCGAACATCCCCGTTTTATTGTCCCGCGTCAGAAAGTAGTTATCACTTTTCAGAAAACTTGAATTTATTGCAAATCGAAAAGGAGATAAGAAATGTATTGTTTAACAAGTATATACAATTCAAATTAAAATTCAATTTAGACTACGGTATTAAAAATGTAGCGAATATCAATTGAAAGTTCGCCTAATTCGTTGAATTTGTTTGACATCCCCTACCTAGTGTTGTGCCGGAACTGTGACTTACTTCGACTTACCTACTCATCACATGTATATTTCTTTGATGAGGTATAATGAGGTATAATAAGTCTTTCTAATTTATGTCAATTTGTTCCCGAGACTTTAATTTCCACAATTATTTGAAGTAATATGAGAGATCGCGAGTCATTTCATCCTGAAAACGTTTTGACTCCTGACAAGTCTCAATAATTTGACTGCGAGACGAGCCGATTTTACAAACTGATATAACATAGATGTCTGTCTTTACAAGATATGATAGACAAGATCAACACGGAAAGGCGGCGTTCAATAAATGCATACCCCACACGACCCAGCAGCAAGGAGCCCAGGAGGCAAAAACAATACTAACCGACAAGGAAATTAAAGAACACAAATAATTGATTAATTAATAGGCCCACAAAATAAAAGGAGCACATGGAAAGGGGACACGGGATGTTGGGAAGTTAGTTAGTTGCAAAATTGAAAAAAAAAGAACATTGCACTGATTAGCGCATTCATCACCATAGTAACCGTTATCGCATTTTAAATATAATTTATTAGTTATTATTGTCGAAGGAATCATCACATTAATGTGAAATGTATATACTTCTATAATTAATTAACAATCTTTCAATGAATTTGATTGTAATACAATTGAATTGATTAAAGACAGTTCTAATTAAAAGCGTTTACATTATTACGACAAACAACACATATTTAGATGAGTTTCAAAACCATTATGACAGCGTTAAAAGTGCAACAAACGGAATAATAATTTTCTAGTATAATTACGATAAATGATGATATCGAATAATTATGGTTGATAAACACTATATCATACCAGATTATGAAACACGAATCGTAACAAAAGAAATATTAAACAGCATTGTATAACAAGAATACTACAACGTATAAACAAGAGGGCCATGATGGCCCTGAGTCGCTCACCAGAATCAACTGCTCTTCAGTGTTGAAATGGCAATACTTTCTACCATAAAATATGTTTAAGCAATAATTTAAAGAAATGCCATTCCCTGGGGCATTTAAGCTTTAGCTTAAACGGGGCTGGTGATCATCTATCAATTATTTCACTAGGAAATGATGTTCGAAGGCTTTTTTCTATTTTTAGCTTTAGTGGCCCCTAAAAGCGTCTAATCAAATTAATATTAGCAAACTTGATAAAAGACTGCCCAACAATGCTACAGACAAAGTTTGGTGATCCACCTTCCATTAGTTCTGTAGAAGAAGACATTTAAAGGTATTTCTACTTTTAGCTCAAGCGGCCCCTAAAAGAGGCCTATCAAATTCTTATGAGCAAACTTGAAGAAAGACTACCCAACAATGCTACAGACAAAGTTTGGTGATAATCCATCAATTAGTTCTGTAGATAGAGACATTTAAAGGTATTTCTTTTTTTACTTTTTGCGGCTCCTATTAGGGACCAATCAAAATAATATAAGCAAGTTTGATAACAGACTACCCAAGAATGCTACAGACAAAGTTTGGTGATCATCCATCAATTAGTTCTCTAGAAATAGACATTTAACGGTATTTCTATTTTTAACTAAAAGGGGCCAATCAATTTAGTATGAGCAAACTTGATAAAACTCTACCCGAGCATGCTACCAACAAATTTTGGTGTACATCCATCAAATAGTTCTGTCGGAAAAGAGGTTTAAATGTTTTTCTTTTTTCAGCCTTAGAGACCCCCAAAAAGGGCCAATCAAAATAATATTAGCAAACTTGATTAAAGACTACGCAAGAATGCTACAGACAAAGTTTGGTGATCATCCATCAATTAGTTGTTTAGAATAAGATGTTTAAAGGTTTTTCTATTTTTAGCCCTAGAGACCCCCCCCCCCCCCTAAAAGGGGCTGATCAAATTAATATGAGCAAATTTGATAAAAGACTATACCCAAGAATGCTACAGACAAAGTTTGGTGATCATCCATCAATTAGTACTGTAGAAGAAGATGTTTAAAGGTTTTTCTATTTTTAGCTCTGCTGACCCCTAAAAAGGGCAATTGGACTAACATGAGCCAATTCAAGTGTGACTGTCACAAGGATGCTACAGACCAAATTTGAAGTATATCTGCTTAGTAGTTTCAGTTGACGCATGACGAAGGACGATGGACGCCGGAGCATCCCATTTGTTACTAATAGCTCACCCTGAGCCTTCGGCTCTGGTGAGCCTAAAAGCTTTCTTTCTGTAAACCTATTTCCTTGATAGCCCGGAGTACACCCTTTACTACAATCCCCGTTGACATGATAGCAAATACCATGCTTGCAATTTAATCGGCAGTTCTCCTGACATCGTATACCAAACTTTCCAGCTCGACATTCTGGGGTTTTTTATGTATAGATTAATTTACACTTGTAGTTTTCTTTATGATTATTATAAAAGGTGTTTAAATATAAAACCGTTTTTGAAATTTCAAACATAAAACGGAACAGACCAAAAATAGAATGAAGTTGACATTTTAATTACAGCTAGATTTATCAATGATATAATAAGGCATAAACTTGATTGCCAGAGTAAAACCCATTCAAGTAATAGATAAGACAAACGCATTTGTGAAAAACTCACTTCTCAATACGTAAGTCATGTTACTTTAGCCATGGCAACTGCTTGCCCGACAGCACATACCTCATCAGCATATTTTTTTGATCATGAAACTGCTATGGTAACTGCCCGATAATACTACCCCGATAGCCAATATTGATATAAGGTTAGTACACCGGGAACGTGTTTTCCAAAAGAATTTCAAGATGAAGGATTATTTGTGGGAAAGACAGGTAGATTATTTTCATTCCGGTCCATAATACAAGTAGTTTAGTTTCTAAAATATGTTTTTGTGCTTTGCTTGTAAGGAACTGGATCCGGTATCTAGTCATATATTTCTTCAGACCCTGCACCGCAGATTGTCCTCTATACCGTCTCATAAATGTTCTGATTTGACTGTTTGAAATTCGTTTCGAAAGACCAAGGCTTTTTTCCCCAATCCCGACATTATTTATGAATGCCTACAAACACTAAACCGACGAAACGTTAGTCCATTGTGTTTAGAAACGTTTATAAAAGTACATGACCAGTTGAACCTATTTTCCTGTTCGTCAAATGCGTTTTAAAAATAAACAATGTTACAGTATAGAGCATTGTGAATTATGCGATTTTCTATACGACCTAGCGATTTTTTATCTGATTTTGTTACAGTTTATACCCAGATTTCGGTTACAATTTAGACCATATACTAGGTAAAATATATGAGTGATGTATAGACATTAAGATCTAAACTCAACTGGTGAGATTATTGACCCGATTGCTATAATATAAATATTAAAACAATCTAAGATCTTTGCCTTGATTGATTTTAAATTGTCGAACACCTAAAGTAATCCAAACACAATATATGCATCGTTATGTATAATATTCATTCAATGTATGTTTGCTTTTGTTATATTTATTATTGTGTGTTTGCCATATGTATATTTATGTTTGTATTGCCAAAGACAGATATTTGTTGAATTGCAAATAAAATTTTGACTTGACTTTTGACTTGTTATTCGTCCGTTTGTCGTACACATGTGTGTCCAATGACATCCGCTCAGTAACTACTTGATCAAATTTGATGAAATTTACATGAATTTCCAAATTATTCAAATGGTTTCGGTTGCAAAAGCAAAAATATAGATTAATTGATTATTTTACAGAAAGGCAGGGGCATGTTTTCACATGACCTAAATGTCGGTAAGACTTAAAATCCAAGAACACCTAAAGTAACAAACCCTTTTTAAATACATAAAAATAAATTGTTGTAGATGGAAATTCCAACTTAAAATAAGTTTTAAGGTTGCAGTATTTCTCCCTTGAATACTATTTTATCGCCCTTAGGGTATGTTGCCTGCTCTTTAATTGCACCTTTTGACAGCTTGTTTGTGGTATGCAGGCTTCATAACCTCCGACCCCCTTCAAAATTCCATTTTATTTAGTTTTACCCATCGTATTCTCGTTAAGGGCACATGCAAATTTTAACCTTGGGCACAATTTCTAGCTTTTCATGGAATGGCATAAACGTGTCACAATGAAGGTTTCATGATAATCGCCAAATGAACACATCTATAGGTGTTTAAAAAAACCCAAAGTTTACCAGTTCATGTTAAATGTGGAAGTCTGCTTAAGCTGGTGCTAAGAGTTGTGGGCGGTAGCTTGCATCCATGAACGGGCTCAATCAAATCGAGTCGGCAACATTTTCATTTCTGCCGTTTCTCTATTTATAACTTAATTGA